GGCAGATATCACTTGTCATTGATAGTAAGTCCATAATATAGTTCTGTTGTTACATATACTTAACTTGCTTGGAGATCTGTGTTTGTTCTAAAGTTCTTGACTCCACATGGAGGGGACGTTATTACCCATCTAGAACCACATGTGATCTGAAAAAAATCTTTAGATTGATGCTTTTGTCATAGAATTTCATCATTTACTCTTGCTTTATAGAACACTGTGATGAAAGTTGGGAGGCACCCAAGAAAGGGTTTTATGGTCATGTTCTGAAATGAATTCTGCTATTAAGGGAGATTTAAAAAATTAGTGCATGAGGCAGCGGAGCCAAGTCTGTATATCCTAAGGACATGATAAAATACAGACTGAAGCAACTTGAGAATGCAGTATGGGACTGTGTGTAAAGTGTGAGAAAAATCTCCCCAGATGCACCATTAACTGCCAAAACAGAAAGATTAAAAACCTTTTCCAAATGTTTGGTATAAAAGGAGTGCAAGCTCCTAACAATGCAGAATTAGGAAAATATTTAAAATACACACAGGAATTAAAATAACTCCCTTAAAGGTTCCCGTAATACTATAGAACTTAAAAAAACAGGTGCACACCAGCAACGTGGCCTTAGGTCTCTTTTGGACAATTTAACATTTGTGAGGATAGCTTTAACAGAAGTGCCCGGGGTTATTACAGGTCAGGCATTTGGGAAAAAAAGCCGAACCAGACTTGTGGATAACATTTTTAGAAGCTCTGTCTGGATGCTTCATGGTTTCCTACACCATTCCACACATGGCATTTCCGTAGATTGACTGTGTTTTGTACAATTGCAGTGTAGAAGCCACCAAGATTGTTTTTGCCCTGTCCCATGGCTGACACATGGTTTTTCACAAACCTCCCACGTCGGGACATTACTATATCGAGATTAAGAGATTCGAGTGGGGAGAAGTGTAAGCGTGCCAGCCGCAGAGAAACAGAACCAGGTTCATTCCTTGTTGCAAAGCAGTAAGAAGGAGAAAAGCACAAGGTCTAGGCTGTTGATCCTTCTTCAGGAGTGAGGTGTCAGGTTTCTCCATCAGATTTCCATTGGTCCATTCCATTCAACGGTTCTCATTCTCACATGCTTTTTTCACTGTTCTCTTCTCCTTTGTATTGCCTCTATTTTTCGCTCTCCCTCCCACATGAAGAAGGCTCAACAGCTGAAACAATTCTGCCGGCTCCTATGTCGTGATTGATACCCGTATATGTCGTCCATTTTAGGACATCTGTGCACAACTTCTTTTGAAGGACATTGGGAGTCGATGAGTGAGTTTATATTCTCTGAACGATTAAACACAGATAACCAAGGAAAGGGATAGGTTGTGCTTGGACTCACAGCTGCGCAAACCACTTTATTCAAAAATAGGGTGTGAGAATGCTTTTTGAAAGTCCTATGAATTTGGTTTGCCTAACCATCAATCACGCTTCAGGGATGACTTCTGGATCATATCTTAATTAAAGGACTGCATGGCACGTTAAGACTGAAACAGTCCAATAATTATCATCTTTATATAACTCTGGTCAGTAAAACAAGAGCTAGGAGAAGCATCTGGAAACATTCAACGTCCAGCACCCTATAATAAAGGGAAAAGGATGCTGCAGACTGTAAATCATCATCTTTGGTATGTTTATAATTTCTCTTCTTAACTTTGTGAAGAAGACGGACTGACACTTTTAATTGGTAATACGAACAAGAGTTCACATAAGTGCTAATCAAGTTTGCATTCGTACATATTTTAAAGAAAAGAACCATAGGTATTGTGATTTAAATGCAAGATTATAGAGCTAATATCATTAATGGCTTCTCATACCATTCTTACTGTATGTCATTATTAAGATGATTATATTGTATATTTTAAAACATTCATCCTGGAGTCTCAGATTTAGTTCCTGTAGAGCCTTATACAGTATATGCTGTTTTTTCCTCCAACCTGAGAAGTCAATTGAACTATTTAACTAAATATTTTCTAAATTTGTCATAGAGTACATAGGATTTTCTTTATGGCCTTTTACAGCTGATTTCACAAGACGTTCACTTCATTAAAGGTAGAGGTCCCGACAAAGCATCACAGAAGCTGGCTAGAAGTATTTTGCTGCTAATTAGTTAAATAATTAGATCAGCTATTTAACTGAGACAGTGGATGGGTTACAAAAAAGCAGAAGATACTGTGTCCTCTGGGAGCTGAATTGGAGAACAATATGAAAAGGACTGGCATTTACCCCTATGGGGTTACAGCTGGTAATACCAGAAAATCCTAATGTAATTATCCATTTATTCTGAAGCAATTATGATGATTAAAAAGACCAGCAATTGCCAACTTTATGTAAATTAATCACGCTAATCAAAAAGGAACTGGGAGTGTATTCATTTAATTATATGTTTATCCAACCATTCATTTTGTAATCGCTTTATCCAATGTAGGGCTGTGGGGGGCTGTTGATATTCCTTTTTGTCACATTTCTCCCTCTGATTCCATTTGTCCGTTCACCTTTCTCACATGTTCTGCTCCCTGTTCTCTTTTGCATTGTGTTGCCTCTAATTTCCTCTCCCTCACACCTGAAGAAGGCTCAACAGCTGAAACGTTTTTTTCTTTCTACTCGACTAACCTCTACTTGTTCCTATATCAAGATTAACACCAGCATAGGTTGTCCATTTTTTTTAAGGAAACTTCGGACGCCAGCCCATCACAGGGTACGCTCACACTAAGGGCAATTTTCCCAGAAGCCAATTAACCTACCAGTATGTCTTTGGACTGTGGGAGGAAACCAGAGCATTCAGAAGACACCCATCCAAACACTGGGAGAACATACAAACTCCACACAGACAGCACCCCAGGTTTGGAAGTGAAGCCAGGGCCCCAGTGCTACAAGGCGATGCTAACCACTGGGCCACCATGCTGCCCTTATATGTTTATCTAATCTCCAATTCTAATGAAGCAACTGGTAAGAAAATAAATTTAAACCCCTTGTGTCAGACACTGGTTTCTAAACAGCTCAGTTCTGCTGTGCCATACAGCTACAATGCATTATTAGCTTCTGAAAAATGGCAAAAGAGTGTGAATTAAAGCATTTGTTCCTGTTATAATATTTAAATAAGACCTCATTTTGTTTCACTTTTTTAAACAAGACAGCCCTTGCTAGCAAGACCTATAAAGATACAACTGACCATTATGTTATATGTTGTAAACATTCATTTCATGGTGAGGATATGCAACACGAGAAAAAACAATAACAGTCATCGTATGAAATGGCAATTTAAAAGTGCTGAGCTGGATACATCTAAAATTTCAGAGAAGAAGAAAGTACTGATTTCATCACAACTGTTTATTGCTGCACAACTTACATACTGTCTGTAGGAGATGCCCTTTATTCATCTACTTGTCCCTGAATTTTGCAAAAAAACATGACAGTTCTTTTAAGAAGTTAATAAATGCTTGTAGACAGGAGGAGGAGGAGACAGAATTGCCTGTTATAATTGAGATCTTGTATGTTGACAACACAGACAGAGAGGGAAAACGAAGATTAACCTTTACCATGTCACTAGGCCAGATTTCTTATGATGATATATACTGTATTATGTATGTGTGGTGTCCAAAAGATACATCATATTGCTTTTGTGCTTGGTAAATATTCACAATAATTTAATCTGCTTTTTTCCTGACTGTGGAATTCTAATTTATCCAGAGTTTTGATCACGATATTTCTTCTAAATCAGCACCTCAGAGAAATAAGGCGATCCATTCCGACATAGATTGATTGATTTTAACCCAAGGTGCTTAGGCTATCAAGATATTTGTTTGTGTTTCAGTGTATCTGTTTTATGAATTGAGGGGGTTTTCTACTTCCAGAAAATCAGTTCTTGTTCCTCACGACAAACATTTTTAAAATTCCACATAATCCTGCTATGAGAGTTTAAATCACAGCAATTGAATGTTAATGGGGGAACATTAAGGAATTTCCAAAATCTTGACACAATGACAATGACTAAGACTTTGATTAAGAAGAAAAGATTTTCAGAAATTAAGACAAATGTGTCCACATAATGACCTCATTATTCCCAGTCTCTTCTAACACTTTATCAGAAAACTATGCTCATTTTCCTAAACAGTTGTAAAATGCACATAAATACTTCTCCTCATCTAACATCTATTTTTATCCATACATTAAGAGCATCACATTAAATAGTGTCATTCTTTAACCAGGAATCCTGTCTGGCCTTATTGTTCAAAGCATCACTGACATAACAGACAAGACACAGGCCAGCAAGCATGTGCTAACCTCTCAGAAAATCTAACCATTGCATGCAAAATAAAAACTGTTGAAAATGAAAGATCAGCCTAAATACAGTTAGAAAAAAACATTAGGGAAAAAAAGAACGTTGCATCAATATGACCATTTGGATCTAGCTCATAATATAAAATTTTACAAAATGACGTTGTTTTAAGCAACTTTGGCACAGGTGAGGTGTAACTGGTACGAGAAGCTCTTAAACAGATATCCAAGTATTTTACCAATGGTATCTAAAGAAACAAGAGATGTTCAACAAAACTCTTCCAGCAGTCTCCTGAGAGTCACTGGACTGGAGCTGACTTGAAAGTTGCACATTTAGAGCCTATCCATTAAAAGGGAAACAAAATGGAACTAAGTAATTATAGTGCACTTACTTCTCACAGTACAATACTACAATACTTCTACTACAGTACATTCAAGGTAATGGAATCAATATTTAGAAGAAAACTAAAGGATCAACTGATTAGTTATTAAAGGAAAGTTCACAATATGTGTTGTGTTTTTCACAGAGATTTTTGGATATACTATATGTCACCAACCTCATCAGTTTAGGTCAATTAATATAATAATGTCATATTTATACTGTTTAAAATATTTGCATTGGTAACCACAATCTTAAAACTGGCCTTTACCTTAAAATATACCTTTCTACCTTACTAATTAAACTCACAAACACACAATTGTCAATACATTTTTATTGTTGTAATGAAATGGATACAATTGAAATGGTTTAATAAGTACTGTGTACAGTAATTTAAGTTAATCATTTAGTATCAGTCAAACAGACGGAAAGCACTCAGCAAGGTGTGATCTGAAGAAATGTGTTATAGAATAAAGCAGAATTTGAAGTAGTGTGTATATTCATTGATAAAATATCAAGTTTGCAAACTCATTGATTACAATAATCTAATTGTAAGTGTCCTTTTCAGACTTTGGTTTGCTCTGGGTTACTGTTGTACCAAAAAGTCCAATTAATTTTGTTTCTACTGTAGGGACTGCCAGTGTGTTAGCCTCTTCATTTGAAATTCCACTGGAAAACTGTCCTGAAAAGAGAGTTCAAAATTAACTAAGCTACTAAGGACTGAAAGCATTTTCAGCAGAACAGATTCGGGTAGGTCAGGCCTTAAAACAACAAATAGTCATCAAACATCTATCTTAAACAGAACTATATTCATGAACAACATGTGGAAAACCCTTTATTGTGTGTTGGATTAATATAATGTAACATATCTTGTCACATTATTACTGTTTTAATATGGATATAATTTAGATTCCTAACTTATATTTAATATGAATCCATATTTGCCATAACAATTGTGCTTTGTTCTAAACTGAGAAATACATATCAGTATTTGCACACATACTATACAAGCACAAGGAAACTTTGGTTATGACTCAAAACCAGGGGTTCAGAACAACATGACCTCACATCATAAGGTACCTGTGTACAGCTGAGAAAATGGATAAAACATTTATTCTTTTTTTTTTTACAATAATCACACACAAGGGAATTGTTTTGACCTTATTGTCTTCTTATAAAATTGTGAGTCGTGGCTCAAGGCCTTTGTAACTTACTTGTGGACTCTGTCAGAGTTGGGATGTAGTCAGTCCAGAAGGAGCACTCCATTTTTCTTAGTGCTTTGCGATTGTCCAAGGATGTGGCAAACTCCTTGTAGTTGTCTCCTTCTGGATGTGCCAGGAATCGAGGCCAGGGGGGAAGAGTTTCGCTAAGTGTCAGTTTGGAGAATGAGTAAGGGTGGTTGGGGTTCCTAAAATGGAAAAAAAACAGCAAATATATACACAGTGAACTTGAAGACTGTCAAGTTTTGTTTACTGGACTGACTTTTGGGCTAATGTAACAAGATATTGAACTGAGTATTAACTGTTCCCCAGTTCCTTCAGGAACAGTATACCGTTGAGTTAGACACCTCACGTAAGCAATAATATCTTGAGGTGACGTTAGTGATTATCCTACCCAGACTTAATGAAATTGACCACGTAGTGCATAATCTTTAGGGACAGGCTTCTCTCCTCCTCAGTGAACAGCTGATGAGTGTTGGGATGGTGAGGGAGACCAAACACAAGCTGAACATCCATAGGTACAGCAAAGTCAGTGCTGAATGAAAAAGAAAGAGACAGAGAGAAGGATCTGGTGAGGTACAAGCTGATATTTTTATTTTAACCTCGATTTTGATTTTGCCGGCAGAGAGCGTGAATATTGTATCGAATACGCCTCTGCATCCCGCATAACAGGGATGTTGGCCACCTGTTAAAGAAGGTCTTCTTTAGCTCAACCGGCAAGACACCTGCTGATCAATGCCGGAGACCCTGGTGCTCGAATTCGCTACATTGGTGTCAAAGTGGGATGGGATAGCCCTTCCCCGAGCTACAGCTAAACTCAATGAAAAAAATAAATTCCAAAATGGCTTAGGTTATACTGCACTCACAAAGGTGGCAGATCCAAAGCAAATGAGACTAATCACTTATTTATCAAAGACAGCCCTGTGGTGTAAACATGCATAATTAAAACCCAGGCTTCATGCTGTCATGTTGCTTAGCTGTATAACACAGACTTTAGGAAGCATGATGGACAGTGGTGCTTCACAGATTCAAGACCCTGGGTTTGATCGTGACTTTGAATGTCATCTCTGTGGAGCTTGAGTATTCTCGTCATGCTTACACAATTATTCAAGCAGTCCCTGGGAGCTAAGTGCATGCTAGCTAGGATGATAGGCTATTTTAAATGGTCTCTTTTTACATGGCTCTGAATGGACAGTTTCTGTTCTTAGCCTTGTCATGCATGCCGTATTGGTGGAATAGGGTTCAGCTTGTGGCATAAGTAGCTTACAATAATGGATGGATTATAGAGCTATTATTTAATTAGAATTAGTAAATATTCCAACAAATGGTGTGCTGGGAGGCAAGCCAAAGGCACACAGATGGGACAATGAGTAAAAGAAAAGAGAGGTCACAGTCTATTGACACCAATTTTACATTCTAACTATTCTAGCGGGGAACAAATACAGACTAAGAACTGCTATGATTGAATTGGTTTAGCATTTAAGAACCTCCTGCTGTGGTTTTAACATGTGCATACCAACCTCCTGCAGAAAAAGATCTGTATGTGTTTTTCTTTTGGAAAAAAAAAGCATGCTGGAAAATGATTACAGGTGCCTTTTTACTCAGGATATGACATAGGCCTAGAATTGAGATTCTTGGTCGAAAGAAGGTGTCTCAAAGCCCTCTTTTTGGAAAAGACTCCACTGCAGAAAATAAAATGGTTTGAAATAGTAACAGGTAAAGGTAAATAGAGGCTACAAACAATAATAACAGATTCTGGAGCTAAGGCAAACGCTAAAAGAGTAAGGTAGAATTAGTGAATGGAAACACTGCAGCAATAATCCAAGACTATATTTTCAGGACTGGTAGAAGCATCTGAATTAAAAGGCAGGTGTTCTCTGAGCTCAAGATATGAACTTACTGGAGCTGTGTGGGCAGAGAGAGCAGATCTTTTTCAACACGGTGCAAAACGATACAGTATGTTTGTCCTTAGTTCGTCACCTTGCTGAAGTAGTCCCTAGATGGCATCTACATGTCACATTTACACATTGTAAACAACTGTTCTTTGCCAGTGTCATAACACTCAAGTAATGCATTACTTAACTGACCTGACCTTTATGTTGATTTCCAATTTAAGTAATGAGACAAAGAATTGAATTGTCAGGAAACAAATAACTGTGGATTAGGCCTAGTTCAGGCACCTGAAAGGGCAAATAAATTTAAGGGACTTTTTTCACTCTTGTTTTTTTTTTTACCTTTTAGACTTGGAATACGAAACAAATGAAAACATTATTTTTTTTTTAAAAAAAGGCCAGTTTATATTTCACAGGGAAAACAACAAGCATGCCACGTCAATCTGTGGGATTTTAGTCAAAGTCATAACTTCCTTTTCTGGATGCTGTTCATTACTATGTGTCATGGGAATTTGCTTGCCAAAATCACCTTTCCTTCCAAAAGCCATTACCGACCCGAAGTTACTGTTAACATCATCTGCGTTTTATTAACGGCCTACTGCAAACACTTAAAAGTTGCAATGAAGAAAAGAAAATCTTTCTGTTCCATGCCTGAGACATCTCTCCCTTGAAAAAACACACCAAGGAAATACAAAGTAAATGCGACATATTAAGTTTATGCAGAAAGCTTTGATGATAGAAGTAGCTATTTATTAAACTGCGCAAGTAAACTTTTCCAATGTCTGTTTAATGCCAAACCAGCCAGCCCTAAAGAAATGGCCAATGTGCAGCAAATAAGGTGCAAATTTTGATTTATAATATTTTACTGAAATGCCATGCTCTAAAATCAAGACAAGATGTTCTTTCATACAGTATCAGAAGAAATAAACAGCCACATAATTATCAAGACTAAACACCTACAGGTTTATGTTAGTCTAGTCAGATTATCACTGAACATAATTCGATGTAAAATAAATATCTTGTCTCTTAAAATGAGTGTTGGCTAAGCTGAAAAAGGAGTGTTTCTCTTTGTTAACCGTCTGGCTCCTCTCACTAAACATGTGATATTTTAGTGTAAAAGATCATTAGTAGGTTAAATATATGTAAAAACACTGCTTCTATACTAAAATATTTCCAACTTTGGCCAAGAATGAAAGAATTTCCCTTATAGAAAAAGTAGCAATACTTTATCCATTGGTGGATGTCAGCTCTTTTGGATGGGTTTGAACATTTTAGCATAATTTGATTTCATAATATTTAACTGTACTATATCTTAGGTTAAGAGGAAATACATCACCAAAAAATAAGAAAAAAAATAAATATGCATATTCATTGCAGTTTAAAAAGCTACCTAACTTAATATATTCTTAGCAAAAGCCTCCAGCAGCCGTAGGAAAATGTTCTATGAGGCAATTCTGTTTTAAGTATGTCACCTCACTTTCTGTTTTAGGTACAACAAGGATTTTACTGGGAAGACAAGAATCTATTTAGTATTAAAAGTAGCCCCTGCCATCAGCACAGTACTCATGGAAAACTGTTAGAGCTTGAAGAGCTGATTGGAAAAACAGGATGTTCAGAAGCACAGTGCTCTTTTCAGTCTGAAAAAAAGCAACATTTATAAAGATCTCACACTGATCATTTCACATGAAAGGTGTTTCGCTCTGGGACTTTCAGAATTGGTTTGCATAGTGGCAGTTGGATAAAGGTACAGTATTCTGACTGTTCTGTTCCAGACAAGCAATTATATTCTGCTGTAACTTGAGGTGGCTTCAAAGTTTTCCTTTCCAATAAAAACAACCAGATCCATTTACTGTAAGGTCACATATGAATATGACACCTGGAGTTGGAACTGTAAGGAATTTGTGTAGGCCTGTAACTACAATGGGAAAGTCATCCTTGTTAGTGGGTGAAGGCAGCATCTCAACAAATATGTATTTACCTTTCACCTACTGCATATGAGCTATGGTTTGTTGATGATACAGTACAGAAAACAAACAGCAAACAAACAAAAGCTTTCTAATATCAAGAGGTACATTAACTGCCCTGACTAAACAAACGAGACCTATTTTTGTTAGGAACAAGAGTTTAATTGTACAGTATATACACTTCCTTAAATATCATTGTCGTCTTAAACTTCTTTGCATAGATGTCTATAATGAGTCTACCAGTCAGAGTAACAGTAATTAAACCATAAAAATGGAGCAAATTTCTACTGACATTTTAGAAAGCTTCTAGAATGGATTTTAAATGTTAAAATCAAAATTTTGAGCCAAGTGCTATTCAAGAATGACCAGTCTAATACAGTACGGATCTGGATTTCATTCTTCAAATGAAAAACTGCCATCAAACACTAAAAAAGTAACCCTTACATTTCTATAGCACTCTTCTGGACATTCCACTCAGTATACAGTATAATTTATATTTAATAGATGGGTTGACTTTTTAATTAATCTGGCCACAGGATTCTGTTAATCGATTATGGTCAAGCATATACAGTTTTGAAACATCATCTGTTATTTATTCCTTTTAGAATAAAAACAGATGCTCCTGGTGTGAAGCTTAGAAACTGGTCTCAAGTACTGTAATTTCAGTGCCAATTTTAAGAGACTCAGACGGTTGTGATCCCTCAGTTGTCATTAACATTGCAAAGAAATAACCTCCTGGTCATTTTAATTCCAGGGAATTGTCTTTTTCTCATATGCCAAACCCATCTGTGTACAAATCTCCACTATTAAGAACTTGTCTCCAGTGTTCAGCAGATGCTGAAGCAGAGCTTCATTTAATTCTGAAAAACCGTGTGGTCATGCCAAAGTGGATTGCATCAGCCAAAAAATATTCACTGGAGAAATGCAATGCTTTTGGCAAACGCTCAGGGTAACTACAGCTAAATTCCAGCGATAAGGTACAGGCACAAAAATCTGAGGAATGTGGGAGACATAGCTTTTCAATAGCTTTGAATTACAATTTCTACTTTACCACTGTCTGATGTAGTTAGAGAATCCCCCACAAGCAGGATGTTAATAAAAACATCAGATGATCTTTCTTTGGTTTCATGCAACACTATCAAGAGCATTTCTACTTTTATCTGTTAACAGTCATTAAAACCCATTTCATATATTGACCAACAATTCATTCATATATTGACCAACGTTCCTAATAAACTATAACAAATTGGACATACTGTAAAAAACTGAAAAATAACCCACAGCTAAAGTTTAAAGTTTTTTCTCTGTTTTACTTTTCAAAATTATTAGCCTTTCCATGTGTTCTATAACACAAGATGTGCAAATGGAAGTAATATGTACAGTTTTAAATTTAAGCCTACTCTATCTATATACATCTACCAAAAATAGTTTTACTCAAATTGTATGATGATGATGTTGAGGAAAAAACGTAGAAACAGGGACTGGAGTTTAAAAAGCCATGTTTCTTTAAGATGTTCTGAGAATGTCTCTTTTCAACATCACACAGTCGATCTGGATTTAACATGACATTTCATTTCAGGGCCTTTTAAAGGGTCATCTCTCATATTTCAAGGGGCACAATGCAACCTAGGGGGTAATAAATACTGATGTAATGCAGGAAGAAATGGATGGTCTGGCCT